TTCATTTCGAATTCGTTCCACTTACGTTTTCAAAGATATGTATGTGCCAGAATAAGAATTTATTCTTTCATATTCTTGATCAAACATATTTTGATCAGTGTTCGCATCTTTTGATAAAAGATCTAAAATATCTTGATCAATAGCTTCTAATTTTGTAAACCTATCGCTTAATAGCGAAAACACTAAATCAATTTCTTCTAAATCTATCTATTTAGCTTTTAGAGCTTCATCTAGCCTATTAGCGACTTTGGTAAAATTTGTTCTGAGTGGTGTTCTCACTTTTAATAATGCATCCATTATTATCTATTTTTCTTTATTGAAAAACAGCTTTTTACTAAAAACCAGCGTCCTGTTCGGGTGCCAAGATTTCACGAGTAATCTAAATTCTAATTAAACAGTTGAAACAAATGGAATAATCTTAAATCTTCTTACCTTATCTCTTTGCTCGTAAATAGATGTTGACTCTGGGAAGGCTGTCTTCTAAATCCAAAAGCTACTAAAAGTTTACATACACCATTTGTTAATAATTTTTACCTACACTCAATACAGGAGACACTTAACGGAAAACAACAATTCCCAAAGGATCATATATTTGTTGTGCTATGGCTAAAATCTTCCTTATTGTAATGGGAGGATCTGCAGTTTGATGGTAAGTGGAATTGCAAAATAATGTATCAGATGTCAGATCCCATCTTAATCCTAAAACCGATACTAAATTTTCTTCGCTTGGATCCTTGAGTCCATTAGCATTATCATTTGGAAACTTGACAGTCTCTAACATGGAGTAATTGTTTCGCCAGCCTCTTAACTCAAATTTATCCAAGAGTAACAATTCTCTTGACTGTTCAACAAATAGTTCTGACTCTAACAATGTCAAAATTAGCAAGACAATTATCAACATAAAAGGAGTCATAAATCAAAAAGAAGTTAGAGTCGTCAAAGTTTCTGGGCATGCGCAGATGCCCAGAGTTTAAATTAGAAGCACTCCATTCTATACTGTGGGGGTTGAGACATATAATTTTGTTTAAAATTTTTGATCAATTATGGCAAAGCTCTTTTAAGTTTACCTGAAGAGTTTGATACAGCTAAAGGCGGTTTCTTACTTTCATTCTCACGAGGTGGCTTCTTTTGGGGGGGTCAGGGGTCGGATTGCCCAGCTGCAATTTCCTCTTTTCTTTCGGGGGTGACCACATGTTTCGGGTGTCGAGGCCAGAAAGTATTTCGGCCTTTCTGAAGAGGAGAACTGGGTCATATGTTTATTACCTACGGATGTCACAAGTTTAACTGAATTATGCTTGAAAACATTCCTGGATTTCTGCAGGAAAGGGTATGTCATTTTGTAGGAGGAGACGGATTTTGTTCGAATTCTGGAGGCTATTTATTATTTACTGGAGGCTTCTGTTCTAGTTCGTCAGCGGGAGTTAAAGTTTTGTTTCAGATTGGCTAATTTTTAATTTTAGTGATGTTTGAGCCAATAGTGAATTTAGAGGCATACGTTTCGAGCGTCAACCGAGGTTTTTTAAACCATTACACGAGAAGCAGGGAGAGATATTTTCTTTAGATTTGTCCAGTTTCGATCTGCTTTTTGAGAGGAGTTAACCCAGTGATCCCTTGGGGGCCGACACTGTAGTTAGCAGTTAAAGGTCCGAGGTTCTGGCCAAGGGGACCGGTCCAAGTTCGTCGTGGGCTCCCATCGGATATACATCAGCAAAATTTGGCTGAAGATCTGGGGCTAGGTCCAGCGTTTTTCCCTGACTGGCAACTTTTGATTGAGAATTACGTCTCTGACGTTTTTTACTTGCGGAAGATACTCATACGGCAAAGATCCATATTGTCATCTCCAGTTCTCTGTTTGCCTGCCATTATCCACTTAGTCAGCACAAACATTTCTAATTTATGTGAACATCAGAAGAATGCTTATTTCGAGCAGCGTTGTAAACATCGCAAAGACGATCTTCAAATTTCTTGAAAACATTGCTTCACTCACTAAAATGCCACTGAAGAAAGGGAAGAACGAGTATTTCTCCTACAGTTTATCTAATTAGTCTCGAGGTTTGAATGATCAGTTAAAGCAGTGGTTTCGAGGACCACTTTATGTGGAACTGGGAAAACTATCTGTGCTGAGCGGACGAGATACTTCTATGGACCTGTGTGTTTCAAAATCTGTGATTATTTAATCTTTAGGATTTTGGAAATGTTAAGTTCTAAAGCTTGAGCTGTTATTTTTATATAGGTGAAAATTTGAATATTTGTATTTACTGTTAATAAATTAATAGTTGAGAAAGTGATTTTATGTTTTTAATGTTTGTCAGGATTTATAATTTAAATTAATTAGAAGGAAAATGGATATTTTTGAAAAGAAACTTTCACTGAAGGAATTGTAATTTCAGTATTATATCAAGTAATTTAATATTTACAAAATGTCAGAAGATAAGTTGTTTCTAGTATTTATATTGGTAATGAGAGATAAGCAATCTAATGAGAAATTTTGAGTAAAATGTTACATAATGTTTGTAGGGGTAGTTTGGCCAGCTATCTAAAATTATAATGTTTGGAATGTTTAGTAAATGTGTTTATTGATTTAACTATGGTATGTTTCTTTTTAGTTATATTTATGGTCTACTGTAGATCACCCATGTGTTCCTTACGGAAACATGGTTATTCAATTTGAACCTGGGTAAACTTATTGCAAAAGTAGAAAAATTTATTTTAAGTGTTTTGTGACTACAGTACAAAGTCCATAATCCGGACTCATTGGGACTTCAGCGATTCCGGATTAGGAGTTTTTCCGGATTATAGATCATCAATTTAAATCTGGTAAGATGGCATTTAGAAATTATACAATTAAAAATAGGAAATCATAATTTTTTGAAATAAAGAACAATTATAATCTAAAGGGTATCAAAATTTACAAAAAAAAAAAAGCTTAATATTTATTTGCTTACTTTATTAAACATTTCTTTCAATGTAAGTTGTTTAAGATGCAAAAAATTCCTTTTTCTTGTGTCATATATAGTGGACTTTCCAATGCCATACTTCTCGCATAATTTTGAGACGGATAGGCCTTTATCCATTTTTTGCAGTAATTCCACTCTTTGTTTAATGGACATCGAAACATGCTTTTGCTTTGTAGATCCTTTGGCAGCTCCAGAATTGGAAACTCTTTTTGACATCATCGAAAGTTCAAGCTTAATTTTTATAAAATTGTTCTAACAGTCTGCAAAATAATAAGCCGGATCCAATTTAATGTATAACGGACGGTATAAGCTAGTATACCGTCCGTTATACATTAAACGCACATGTGCATAAAGTTTGTAGCTTTGAGGTCCGGATTATAGATCATTCCGCATTATGGGCATCCGGATTACAGACTTTGTACTCTATATGGTTGGCTTACTTAATTTATTTGAACTGGTGATTAGACTTCTTTAGTGTGAGACTTATCTTTCCCTGGTGTTTTGAAGAGTTCTGTGGTTTATTTAAATGTAAAGTGTTTAGGGAAAGAGTTGTATCGATATTTATATGTTTTCTGGTTGGAGATCTGAATTAGTTTTATTTTAGTGAGAGATAGCAGATTGATGATTTTGTTGCAGAAATGCATTTTTACATTTGTGTTGATAAATAATCTTTGATTCTGCCAAAGCACCAGGGAGGATATTTTCTTTTCATTTCTTGATTAGAGAGTTGATATGTTAAACTTTATTTTTCTTTGATGTTGTAAGAGAATTTTGTTTAACTTAAAGAAGTTTGGTTTTCACCAAGCATTAAAGTGTTAAGAATAAGTTTCTTTTTATTATATGAGATTAGTAGTTAGTTTTTTTTGGGGGTCGCTGCACCAAAGAGAAGTCAGAAGTAGTTTACAAGTTTAATGCGATTTTAACATTTTTTTCTACATAATAGCAGCTTTTAATTTAATGATATCGTATACTATAGTAACAAAATAAATAAATAAATAAATAAACAAACCCTTACCTGGTGAAGTTTTTAAGGAATTAGTAATCCTTATTTATTCACTCACATGCCACTAGGAAAGCAGCTGTAAAAATTCTAAATCAAGGTGCTTGTTTATCTAAAAGGTATCTTTTCCAACAACAATGGCGCTTGTGTCATTTAGGATTAATTTTTGTGTATAAAATGTATTCTCAAACATCTTTGTTTTAAAATCTCATAAAACTCTTTGTATGCAACTATTGGATGCCACAGAATGATAAATCTAATAAATCATCATGTTATCAGGACTCAAGAAATATTGCTCTAAATAAAATTATCCTAAATTAAAAAGCAAATAAAAGACACATTGAATTTCAGACTTCAGGGTTTATTCAATTTTTCTTATGCATTTGAACTGGTATTGCCAGTTACAAAAATAAAAACGTGCATCATGAAGCATTTACACTTTCTATTGGCAATTAAAATAGATTTCAAGTAAAATTTCTTCCAATCTGTATTTCCACGCAGCCTAAAATTAGCTAAAAAATTCTCACCTAAAATAACCAAAAATTCTCAGGTTTTTGTCATTCATTAAAACATATTTATCTTTCAGATTTAATCACTGTATAATTGCTCAATAAATTGAATGATTTAAAAATAATTAATCTTTCTTAATCCTTTATAACTTTAATTAATTCTTAATAACACATCTTAATTGGTATAATTAATAAATTACATAATTCTGTAAACATGCATTGCATTATTACAACTAACAGATGTTTTTATATCCTATGTTTGACACCAAAATAAGAATAAATTGTTTTTGATGTTAAAAATGCCTTTAACAAAGTCTGTTTGAATTTTTCTTCCTCATAAGACTGAACTGAGAAGTGCAGTGATTTTTTTTTTTTTTTTTTTTTAAATCTTTGAACCTCAAATTAGATTGTGCCAGATATTTAAATGCCAGAATTCTGGATATAGGGCAAGCAATTCAGTATTTTGTAAGTTTCATTTTGCTCTACTTTTATTATTAGTTGAAATGTTGCAACTATATTTGTTTTATATTTCAGGATGGTGGAGCATTGTTATGTGTAATTGATGAATCTGTGGAACATACTCTTTCCTTGTGGGATTGGCAGAAAGGTGAAAAGGGCCATAAAATAACTGAAACAAAAGTAAGTAGCTATATAGATATTAAATCTGTGATATCTTTCTGCTAAACAATTAATATATATACACTTGCATATTCCCCTTCCCCCTTTTTTTTTTCTAATTTTATATTGCATGAAAATTGAGAGGGAAAAAATAAGCTAATAATTTGGTTTCCAAAAGACTCAGTTAGAGTAAGAATGGAAATAAAAAGTGTTCATGGATAAACTACTGGCAACTATCTGAATATTATTTATTTAAAACAAACCTGCATTCCTGTATCAGTACATAGTAATATTGATATTAAAATATCTAATAGGATATTTTCATTTCTACTTCTCTATTTCTTTAATAGTGTTTGCTGTTTGTTGGCCACTGTTACTCCCTAAACCTCAAATCATGCAGTGGTACTGGAACCGTAGTCTGTGCTATTTGCTACAGTTTGCTAATCGTCACCATTGTCATCATCATCTTCATCACAACTCTGCCCATCTTCCCACATGTCATAGTCTTCAAAACCATTAAGGGGATTAGATATCCCATTTTCTTGAAGCTCTTCACTGTAACTGCTTTATTAATCCACAAAGCCCATGTACACAAAATCCACCAGGAAATCAATTAGTAAGATGAAAACAACCACTATATGAGTGAATACATTTCAAAATTGAGGATAGTTAGCTTTCTGAATGTTTTGAGGAGGGTAGAAGTTGTGTATGCAAGGGGCATACACAAATAAATAAGCACACACATATATAAGTAAGATATAATAAAATATGATGACTATGTTAATAAATAATTGGCAACCATAAAATTTACTATTCTAAATTTGATGTTTTCTCTCTGAGTTCATCCTTTCTTCTAAATTCAAGATCTTTCCAAATTACAAAACACTGCTTGAAAAAAGGAACTAGAACCTAAAATTAACCAGTCATAGCATAGCTTTACTTATGCACTTCGTAGTATAATTACTGCTTTGCGAGCAATTACACCTTCCTTTTTTCCTGACTTTTTCCATGCAAAAAACTCCGTGCCGCTATACTTTCCTATCTAAAATGTTGAAGTCATATTTTTAAAACAAGTGTACATAAAAACTATCGTATTTAATTATGATTGGATAAATACCTTGTCTACCAAAATGATATGGTCTAAATTATCATGGAATAAAAATATATTTTGAAATGGCCATGTCTGGAACTTGATTTATGCATCCATCTGTCTATCTATGCACTTAAAACATTACACACACACACACACACATATATGTGTGTGTGGTGTGTAATTGTATCACAAAATTATTTAATTAAAAGTTGTTTCTATTATATTAATTTATGCAGTGATTGTTTATACATTTTTATATGAATTTCATTTTGGTTCTACTTTGCTGTATCTGAATATGATATTTGAATTTGCTTTTCATTGTAATTTTAAATTATTACCACTAAAATTACAGCTGCTTTCAGTGCATGATTTAGTTTCTTATATGTTAGAACCTGTTTGCTATTTTATTATATATATATATATATATGTGTGTGTGTGTGTGTGTGTGTGTGTGAATATAATTCTCCTAATCTTTTCTTTTTGTCCTCCCTCAAAGAGTGCCACAGAGACTGTTCTTGCTGCTGAATTTCATCCTATGGACAGGCATACACTAATAACTGTTGGTAAAAATCACATTCACTTTTGGGATACAGAAGGTGGAACTCTAGCTAAAAAGCTTGGCCTTTTTGAGGTACGTTTAAATAAAACTGCAGCAGAGCGTGAATTACTATGTATTTAGTGATTACTAATTAGTTCAGTAACAATTGATGCAAAGCATTAACTAAGCTATGTTATTACACTCATACAGAATTCATATTTGATCTGAATAAATAGTTACTTAACAGGATGGTAGGAAGAAAGAAAATTAATCTTTCTCCCACTAAATCAGGAATAAAATCTGTATTTTTTTTCTTTTAAATCTTGTGTTATCAAGAAATCTGAGTGCAAAATCTCATGCAACAACAAGTGTAACACTAAAATTGCATACTGAAAATGCAGATGCTTGAACTCAATAAGGATGAATTCAACAATGACTAATTAACAGTGTAAAGCAACTGTTTTCTGTAAGATTGATGGAAATTTGTTTCCAGGAATGTGCCTATCTCTGTCCCATGTGGTTGTAAAAATTCCATCTACTGTCATCTTGGAATTTTGGAAATTCATCTTATTAACTTACTGCTAGTTTCAATAAATTTCAAAATACCATTTCTCGATTTTACCGGTTTTGCATTATATTTATCACTGCTGTTTTTACATTAAAATATAGTGATCATTGCTGTTTATGAAGTGTCAAATGACATGAATTAGTTTATTATATTTATACACTGAATTTGTATTAGCTAATTTTAGCTGTGTATTTTTATAGTGTTTACAAGATTAGGCCTTCATCTTTAATGTTCTGTGATATTTTTTAAAGTTGTGTGAACCTAAATTTAAGTTTCATTAAAGTACACTGTTTCAATTTCATTTTTTTTTTTTTTTTTTTTTTTTTTAAGTTGTATATTTAAAAATGAATAGGCTTTTTTATTTATTATGTTAGGAAGTCACAAATACCTCTTTGCTTTGAATCCAAGTCTGTATTTGTACAAATATGTTTTTGATTACATATTTTATTACAATAATTTTCTTGTTCAAATAAATAAGCTATATTTTTAGAGGAGTCATATAATATTAATAAGTGACAAAACTCCTCTAGAACATTTTGATATATTAAAAAATATTATTATGATTAGTTTTGTGGTTTCACATTTTTCACAAACTAATTCATGTTAAAATGAAAATTCCCCCTTCTCCCCATTCTTTGCATATATATGAAAAGGAAATAAGAAATTTTTTATTAGTAACTATCAGTTTATGATTTTGTAAAGCTATTTTTGAATTACAATAAAAAATTGATTACAAGTGTGTGCATTAATTATGCTGCAAAATGTATCACATATATACTGTAAATGAAATATCTTTTCAGAAGCAAGATAAACCAAGATACGTTTTATGCATATCTTTCACAGAAACTGGTGAATTGTTAACAGGGGATTCTAATGGCAACATTTTAATTTGGTCAAGAGGTTTGTATATTTTATTTATATTATACCAGTATTTTTACATTAAAAAACTGCAAATCTCATGTACAAATTGCAGTAAGAAATAAAACTATTACTTGTCAATCGAATTTTTTTTTGTTTTCAATAACCTCTCTGTCACTTTCTTCTTTATCGGTAGTGGTATTTTCTGGATCTAGAATCATACTACAGATTTCGCTGTCCATTAATTGATTGATGATCGGGGCATTGTCATCGGAATGAAAAACTTCTGTTATATCATTTTCATTTATTACTGCTTCTCCACATTTCTTTACAAAATCCATTAAGTGGAAAATTTCACTTTTGGTTTGCGATATTCGAAATCCTTCAAATTCGAGGCTATCATCTTCATCATACTCACCATGAAGTATGGTATGCGGCCATAAATTATGCCAAGCATTTTTCAAAGTAACTGAAGACACATCCTGATGCTCCACACAGCAGATTTTATGTTAAATATTTCAAACATTCTTGAATAGTTTTGCCATTGTTCAAGAAATTTAACATGGAATTAAAAAATAATATTTCATATTTGCATTTTAACGTGCACACTATTTCGATAATCATAGGCTGAATGATCCTACTCCTAAAAGGCATAGACACGCCTCCGCCTTTTCAGTTCCAGCCCCCGCGCTGGGTAAAATCACATCATGCCTACAGAATTAATTTCTGCATTGGATATTTCCTCCCGCAACACCACAGGCTTTTCCTATGGCATATTTAATAAGACAAGTTTATGTGAGCCTATGGTTGATGATAACCAGCAGAAAAACCTACATTGTTTACATGATTCACCATTTTACCAGATAAGTAGAGGTTGTTCAGTGCTTTTTGCTTACTCTTGTGCAGAGACATTTATACTGGTCCTCCATTTCCTGCACCAATTCTCATTTTCTAAAGCAAAATTCTGAAGTTTGGAGATGGCATTATTGGATTGGATGGAGCTGATGGTTACCACTGTATCATTGGCATACATAGAGTTATGCCCATTTTGTCTCTGGGAAGCTAACATAGAGTCGTGATCCAATTTATCTCTATGAAAATTGGTTATTTAAAAAAAAAAAAAAAAAAAAAAAAGAATGAACACAAGACAGAAGCCCTGTGGCACTCATGCAGTGATGTTTCTGAGGGCTGAATAGATATTTCCTCAATTGGCTCTAAGAAACCAGTCTATAAGAAAGAAAATTTCTCGACTAAATTTCATCTTGATCAGTTTTTAGATCAACCCCTTATGCCAAATGCTGTCAAAAGCCATAATTATTGTTATGAAAGATTTATTTATATTTTAGGCTAAAAATATTTTTTCACTCTTGGATAAATGATTGAAGAGTGACAAAGGTAATGTCGAAGATGGCAATATTTCAAAGACTCTTAAAGCTAGATCTGATAATCAGAAAGAGCACCTAAGATGAAAAACAGAAAATATAATGAGACAGTTCTTCACTTTAGCTTTGTTTTCAACACCTGTGCTATGGAAATTATGAAAAAAAAAAAAAAAAAAAAAAAAAATGAAAAAGCATGTTGAATCCAAACATCCTTCATTCATCAGTAAATGAAAGAATATTTTGAATGACTTAAAATTTCAAAGAATGGAAAACAATGTTTTGAGAAATTTATGACTGTCAGTAAAAAAATATTTACTTGCATCTCATACCTGATTGCTAAAAATAAAATATCATTAGACCTATACACCATTGGAGAAATCTTGCATTATACCTGCTGCTTTTAAAATTGTTGAAATACTTCATGGAAATAAATAGAGAGATGAAATTCAGAAAATTTCTTTGTCAAATGATAATGTCAGCAATAGAATTCCTGAAATTAGTAATTATCAATTCAAGCAGTTTATTACTAGACTTATAGAAAATCCAAAATTACAATTTATTTGAACTAAACAAATTATATTTAAAAAATATGTTAGTTGTTTGTACATGTTAGGTACAAAAGACTACAAAAATTGTTTTTTTTAGTCTTACATTTGTTTAAGGCCTATAAAGTTACTTTTCTAGTGCATGTGTATACTGTGATGGAATGTGCAAATGATTATGATTTCAGTGCATGTGCACATGTTGTCAAGTTGCCAAATAAACTGCTGGCCATAAAAATGTAGCATCATGAAGGAAGTGTCCAAACAGTATAAAACTCCCATTATGAGTATACCGTGATGAAATATGCAAATGATTATGAATTCAGCATATGTGCACAACATGGACAACTTCAGCTCTTCTTACTATCCATATATAAAAGGGAGGAAAGTTTGCCATTTTGAATAATGTGAATTGTTCTCTCATGAGTTTTTTTTTTTTTTGTGTACAGCTTCAGTATGCCCCGTAGAAAAACATGAGCATCATTCGAGCATGTTTCTGAGTTCGGCCCTGGCAAAATAGTTGTGTGCAGAGATTGTGGGTTATCCTTCCAGGAAATTAGTCATTGTGTCAGATGTATAGCCAAGCAACAGTCATGCAAGTATGGAATCGGTCAATACAGAAGGAATGACTGACAGACAGGAGCAGTTGCAACCACCTCATCACACTACTCCATGGGAAGAGAGGCATATTATGCACATGGCACTGGAGGGCACTGCTTCATTTACAACCATATCAGAATGAATTCATTCTGTAACACAGCAAACAGTGTCAGCATGAATAATTTAACATTTTTATACAGTATAGTGGACATAGGGCAAACTTTGTTTTGCAAGGTGGACCGGGGTGCGCCCCAACAAAACAAAACAGTATAGTGGACAGTCCACTAAGCATCTTCACTTATCTTTAACTTTGAACCACAAACATTTATGTTTGCAGTGATTTACTGAATGGCAGAGATGGACATGAAAAAGGCATGACGTTGTGTTTTTGAACAAATCACGCTTTTATGTGCAGTAACACAACAGTCGGATTAGAATTTGGAGACACAGTGGAGAAAGGCTGCTCGATTGTTATGCATTGTCATAACTAGTCTTGCATTGTCATAACTGTCCCTAGTATGCATTATCGGTACACTTATCAGCCAATGCTATATCTCTGAGGTTTTGCAGCCTGTTCTTTCTTACCTTTAGGGCTTGCTTGCTGCCACATCTCAACAGCACATTGCATGTTACCCTGGCCATGTTGCATGCTCTCCAGATCTATTGCCCGTTGAACATATTTGGTCAATCTGTGGAGAATGCGTAACCTGGTAAGCTGCACCCGCGGGTACACCAAATGAACTTTGGCTATGTATAGAGGCAGCCATTCCTCAACAACACATCCAAAGCCTCTTTCACTCAATGCTGTGACGTGTAGCAGCAGCTATTAAAATGTGGAGACGACACTCATTATTTATTTTCTCGTATTCCTCACAGAAGGCTGTATTTCAAATCAATTAAAATTGATTCTGTATGTATTCTGTGAAATAAATTTGGCTTTGATATTTTTCTTCTTGTTGTATTCTGGATGGGCAGCTGTGTAGCTTCGTTTCGATTTTAGTCGGTCATTTAAAATTTGGCAAAAAGGCAATCGTGGTGTTACAGAGATTTTTGAATAAATATATCGATTTTGAGGGCAATCGGACACAAGTCTTTCTTCTTCAGAAGAGGCTAAAAAATTCTGCAGAATCTTTCTATTTTTCCCCCCTTGAAAAAATAAATTCCCTGAAAACATCTATAACAAAGTTCACTTTTTTATGTAATTTGAAATTTTACATTGGCATGTTCTCTTCCAATGAGGCATGCCATCTGAATGCTAAGAAAGCATTGGTCAAATAATTTCCAGAAATGTTTCTGAACAGTTAATAAACGAACTTTTGCTTTAAAGATGATATGAACAGTTCATAAGCAAAGTTTTACATTTTCATAACTAGAATGCTATCAAAATACCTGTTGATATACTACTTGGTATTTTTTATTGAATTCCATTGTTATTTTGGAGGATATTTTTTGTCATTGTTTAATGTTATCAAAGTAGCAGTGGACAAACATGATCACATTAAGTAAGCTAAGTGACAAATGTTAAGTGAATCTAATGTCATATTTTGCAATGTTTGGCTAATTAATTGTTAAAACATACTATTTTTTTTTTATAAAATTTTAACAAAATTTAGTCAATTTGAATTTTTCATTAGGTTGAGATACTTTTCTTAGTTCATTATCTGAGGTAGAGCCATGTTGACAGGATAATGAAATGGATGACTTTATTTACAGTAGTTCTTTTTGAGGCAAAGTTAACCTCTGCATGAATACTTGAATGTGTGTGTACAGTTTGTGGATAAGTTGATTTCTTCCTTATAATTTTGTATTTATGCGTATAAAGTATTCAGTGATATCTGCTGGAAAGGCTTAGCCATTCAACTTCTCATCATCTTCCTTAAGCTTGCATCTTTTCATTTTGTTTCAAGGAGTGTCTTTATATCTTTAATCAGTTTCTAGAATCTGGTTAGTGACACAGCCCTAGTGAGCCACTGATCATGGTTTAAGTAAATTACATCACTATCTAATTTTCAGAATCAAGTCGAGCTTTAAACTGTAAATCCAATCATGGTATTTTATCCATATAACTGTAAGTTAAATCACACTCAGTGCTTATCTTGAAGCATTGATTGTTATTGAGTCCTTTGGAATTAATTAAACTTACTGTTATTATAACTATTTCTGTTATGGTTCCTATCTTAGGTATTTGTATATAGTTACTTGTGGTGCACGAGACAGTGTAAACAGTGGTATTTATTAGATTTCAATGCAAAAATGATATCAGCAGCAATAACAGTGATATCATTTCAGAATTAGATATCAACATTATAATTTGATAACATTATAATTATTTTGCTTGATTTTTTGTTAATTGCATGTTAAAATTCAGGTATTAATTGCACTCATTCAAACATTAATTGAAAGTTTATTATTTCTGAAAGATAACTTTTACATTTCCACATTGGACTCTTTAATTAAAAAAAAAAATATATATTTATGGCTATTTGTAGAAATTCTCATACTTTTAGTTAATAACCCAGTATGTGATGGGAAAAAAGTATTATTTATAATGTGTTTATATACTTTTCTGTATTATTGATTTCATTTTTCTACAAATTTTATTTTCATTCATAAGTTTTGAAATTTTTTTATAAATAATTTCCTGGCCAGATTGTAGATTGCTAGCTACGTGGCAGACAACTCTACTGTAGATATTGTTTTTCACTTATCATAATTTTTTTAATGTCTATCTTTAATAAAATGTACTTTGGTAAATTGCTGTTTTAATTACAGGATCAAATAGAGTATCTCGAACTGTGTACAATGCCCATGATGGTGGTGTATTTTCAATATGTTCTATGAAAGATGGAACTTTCCTATCAGGTGGTGGTCGCGATCGGAGAATTGTTGAATGGGATCATACATTATCACGGACAGGACGTGAAGCAAAGGTTAGCAAGTTACTTTATTTGATTAAAGTGTTTGATAAATATATTCATATCATGTTATTAATTTTCAACAAATGTAATTTTCATATTATTACTCTTATTTGTGTTACGCACAAAATTATGTTTGTGCAAAAATATCCCCCCCCCAAATAAAGTTTAACTTTCAATGCCTAAAATAAAATGAGACGTAAAATAAAATAAATAAATAAAGGCATAATATAAAATCCGAAAGCTTTCAGATTTATATTATGCCTAAAGTTTTTTTTTTTATTGTTTTGTGTGTTGTCTTTATTAAATATCATGTTCTTCACACTTAAAACACATAAAATTGAGTTCAACAGCAATATCATAAAATATTTAAAAACAGCATATCTTTAGAATTTCTGATAGACAGTCTCACACATTGGAGATAAAAAAATGTTACTTTCCATACATTGTTGCCATTTCTTGCTTTGAAATCGTTGAGTTTGTTAATAAAAAATTCATTGTTCAGGTGGAGGATTATGTTATTCGAAATTCGATGGCTCTAGGTACCGTCGTTTTTCACAATGCAAGAAATATATATACATTCATGCAGATTCTTCATTATTTAATTTCTTTGAATATAAGACAGGATGATAATATTCAGTGGCAACAATTTGAAAAGTGAAACGGGCATTTATAGTGAAACAACACAAAACTCCATATTGAAACTAATAGCCCTTTTGTGCTAAAAAAGAATCGGGGTAGATTTCAGATAAAACTGTTATCAATTTTCATCAAGATAAAATTTTCTGTGCTGAAGAGCAGAGTAAAGAGCCAAGTAATTAGGCTACATTATGTGAATAAGCAGGATTAAAAATGAAGTGACCTAGCATCATTTATTGGGCAAAATAAAATTTATTTTCAAACATTTTTTTTAGCTTGTTTAAGGAGTGTATTCAGCTGCCTTGTGATGACATAAAATAAATCTTTTTAAAATTCTGGATGTAGGTGGTAGGTTCTTGCTGTTATAAAATACAATATCCGCTTAAAAATAGATAAATTAATGGAAATTTTTGCTCTCTGGAAATATATTATATTGACTATAATTTATCGCTCAAAATTAGATAAATTATTTGAAATATTTGCTCTCTGGAAATATATTATATTGACTATAATTGTTTTTTAGGAAATTATATTTTTAATAATCATTATAATACATCTATCTAATGCAAAAATTATATTAAAAAGATTAGCATCAAATGTCTTGAAGATTAGTATAATTATATTTTACACATAAAGAAATTAGCATATAAATATTGAATATAATATAAATATTGAATTTTTTATAAAAATTCAATGAATTAAAAAGGGTAATTTACTGAAAACTATTGATATACAAGTGTTGAAAAATTGTCTACAAGATTTACTTTCATAAATATTGATCATAGACATGTACTTTCAACTGCAAAACATTTCTATATATGGTTCAGAATTGTATAAAAGCATTTTCAGTGCTATTAATGGAAGAAATCTGTAGACATAAGATTTGACTGGTTCTTGTAAAGCAGGGGTGCCCAATCCACGACTTGTGGGCTGCATGCGGCCCATAAAGTGACAATAAAGTGCAAAATAAATATCAAGATGAATATCAATATGATACATTTTACTGTTGTGATAGGGGTTGAAAGTTGGCATTCTATGCGGACGGACAAGTTATTGATGCTCCAAGTTTGAACAAAATAAAATGTATTTTGAGTGGAATGGTGGTACCAAAACTTCTTTTGACTTGTGTGTGAAGTGATTATCTTCACTTTGAGCCATAGACAAATATACTCTGCACAGTCATGAGTTATGCATGTCATAATTATTTGACAGCATGTAAATTTGTGAACAACTACTTTCAAGGGTAAAGTACATTAAGAGTAAAATTAGAACTGATATTGGAAGAATACCCTGAGAATTGAAACAATTTCAGTCAAACTAGATACTGATGCATAATTTTTTCATAGTTGGAACTAAATATCACATAAATTTTATAATTTCTTGTTAATAATGCAATACAAAGTCCGAAATCCGGACGTCCATTATCCAGAATGATCTAAAATCCGGACCTCAAAACCACCACCAACATTTTTTTTTACGCATGCGCATTTGAATAACCCCTCCGCACATAATAAAACATCTGGAGAGTCCTGATTCTTAATTCGACACTAAATAAAATACCTTGTTATTGAAGAAACAAACATTTTAGCATAAATTTGTACAATCAAGTAATTTGACTCCATTGCTGCATATCTGCTTTTTGGCACACATCTCAAACCGAAACATTCCACATAGATACATTGTTGATCTGACGCCAGATTGGCGTCAGATCAACGATGGATCAACGATTATTAATTTATCAATCAATTAATGAATGGTGAAATCTGTAGTATGGTTCTAGATCCAGAAAATACCGCTACCAATAGTGCAGAAAGTGATAGAGAAGTTACTGAAAACGAGAAAATTTCAATTGACAAGTTGGTCAGAATTCTTGAAAATAGCAAAATTCTTGTAAAAAAAATTGCTCTTAAAATTTAATTATAAACGACCAACGATCAAATTCATTATGTACTGTACTTTCCTTTTATCACTGCATGTTTATCAAAACAAGACAACTTGAGTAATGACATATGTAGCGATGCCCAAACAATTTTTTTTATACTAATTCAGAAGATAAACAACAAAAATCAGCGTTATATTTACAAAATTTCCACAGGACTAGTTTCGATGGTTTTACCGAACCACCATCCTCAGATGCAAAACCGCAAATTTTTTTATGTTAGTAATTAAATAATAAAGGAGTATGGTAACCTTTTATGTTGACATTACACTTGGAAATGGTTACAGATTTAAGGTAAATACGCTAAAAAATGTTGACGAGGAAAAATTTAGCAAAAATTTCTTTCCATATGCTGAAAATAGATTTTGTTGATGATGCTCATAGAGCCAAATATTACATGTAGGGCTATTTGAATTAAGAATAACTGATTTCTAATTCACACAAACCCAGAACGAGTGCCAGGACTCGTATGGCCGCACAGAGTCGCAGAATTTAAGACCCATACAGACTGCATCAGGTAGTAAGATGTCTAGCACTGGTCCTCAATAAGGCTTAAGCATATGTGGAAATTTATTTATTCAAAACTCTGATATTCATGCTGATTTCTTAAGCATGTGCAAGAAATAGACATAAGTATAATAAATAACTAAGCTAATGGAATTCAGGCGTAATTGTCTCAGTGTGCGATATCTATCTGCACTAAATGTACTGCTTTCATGTTTTTTTCCCTAACTTAAGAACATTTTCTGACAGAAAACTTTTGTTACAACCAGATAATTATTTATCATTGCAAAGATATGTACATAATTTCCATACATTTTTTTATATTGGAAAAAAAATTCCTGTTTTGTTGTAATTTTTAGCAAAGGTTTACTGAAATCTGATAAGATGTGTTTTGATATAATACAGTACAAAGTCCATAATCCGGACATCCATTATCTGGAATGATCTAAAATGCGGACTTCAAAACCACCAACAACATTTTTTCTCATAAGCTTTATGCATGCACATTTGATTCCTCCCTCCGGGCATAATAAAATATCTGGAGAGTCTCGATTCTTAATTTCACTTTGACACTAAATAAAATACCTTCTTATTGGGGAAAAAAAAAAAAAAAAAAAACTAGCGTAAATTTGTAGGATCAGTAATTTAGTTCCATTGCTGCATATCTGCTTGGCACACATCTCAAACTGAAACATTTAACATAGATACATCGTTGATCTGACGCCAACCTGGCGAATCATTATTATTCTTTCCTTTCATCACTGCATCATTTTATCAGTACATGACAACTTGAGTAATGACTCATGTAGTGATGCCTAAGATATTTGTTTATGTTAGTACTTGAGTAATAAAGGAGTATAGTAACCTTTTATGTTGACATTACACTTGGTGATGATTACAGATTTAAGTTAAATGCGCTGAAAAATAATGATGAGGAAAATTTTCTTTCCATATGCTAATAATAGATTTTGTTGATGATACTCACAGACCCAAAGATTACATTTAGGGCTATTTGAATTAAGAATAACTTATTCACATAAACCCAGAACCAGCACCAGGGCTCATATGGCACACCAAGGCACAGAATTTAGGACCCACAGAGGCTGCATCAGGCAGTCAGATATCTAGCACCGGCCCTCATTAAGGCTAAAGCATATGTGGGAATTTATTTATTCAGAACTCTGATAAGCCTTAAGCATGTGCAAGAAATAGACATAAGTATAATAAATAACTAAGCTAATAGAATTCAGGCTTAATTGTCTTAGTGCACAATAGAAGCAAGATAAAATTTAATGGAACAACTTGTCTTTAGTGCCAGGCTCATGATGCTTAGCCAAATATGTATAGTGAAGGATAGCTAAATTTGATGACGATAGCAGTTAATTTGAAAGGGTTTTGGATATTGCAAAACAAAAGGTGAAATTTTCCATTTAATGGATTTTGTAAAGAAATATGTAGAAGTGTTAAAAAATGAAGATGATATAAAAGAAGTTTTTCATTGTGATGACTGTGGTTTTGAATCATCAATCAATTAATGAATGGTGAAATCTGTAGTATGGCTCTAGATCCAGAAAATACCGCTACCAATAGTGAAGAAAGTGACAGAGAAGTTACTGAAAACGAGAAAATTTCAATTGACAAGTTGGTCGGAATTCTCGAAAATAGCAAAATTCTTGTAAAAAAAATGCTCTTAAAATTTAATTATAAATTACTTAATCCCTTGCTAAAGTAGTTTCATTTTTTTCACATATTACATTTAAATATAATACATAAATTCATGAAATTTCACAATTATTGCCCTGAAATTTGCTGGAAAGTTTCCAACTTGTTTTGCAATACACAGTTTATTAGTTTTACTGTAATTGATTTTTAGTTTAATTTTTTTTAAACTCTTACTTTATTGGAAGAATTCATGGTAAAAGGAGAATAAATGCTTCTGATTATCTGTGATATTATTTTATGAAGTAAATTAAATAAATAAATAAAAATGTAAATTTCAGCTAAATAAATAAAAAGTATAAGTTGCAGCAACATGTTAAAAAGAAGGTTACACACCCAGAAAATGAAGGTTATGCTTTTAAGTTCCAAGTGATCATTCATTTGTTTATATTTTGTCTGTAAAACTTATTTAAATTCTGTTGTAAGTATTCTCCTCTCCCCTTTTCTGTGGAGTGATATATGATCAGAGATTTTATGTTTTTTGCAGTTACCAGAACAGACTGGTGGTGTTCGTGCCTTAGCCCAAGGTAAAGGTAGCATGCTTCTTGTTGGTACAACAAAGAATTGTATCCTGCAAGGCACTTTATCCCTAAATTTTTCATTAATTGTTCAGGTACGCAAGTGTATTCTCGATAAAGAATCTTTTTTTGTTTTTTAAACTTTTTGTTCAGTTTGGAATTTTAGGAATTCTTACATTTATTAGGGCCATACTGAAGAACTTTGGGCACTTGCTGTCCATCCTAGCCAAAGCCAGTTCATCAGTGGTGGTCATGATCATTACATACACCTTTGGGATACAATGTCTCACTCAGTTGTATGGAGTAAAGATATTGGAGTAAGTAATATTAGTAATTTTATGCTGTAGTTTCATTTTGTCTAAGATAATCATAGTACCTATTTTGTATTTAAATTACTACCTTTAATTTGACAGAGCGATATCTTACAATACAATATTTTATTTTTAATTATTATTGCAAGAAAAGAGAATCGGTATTGTTGATTATCTTTCATATTGTTTTATATGCAAAACTGAATAAAAATGAAAAATAAGCTTCAGTTTTTTAAATATGAAAGCATAGAAGCAGTGCTTTAAACTATCATTTTCCTATTTCATAAGCTTTTATCTATAAAAAGTCCCTAATATGTTTGTCAAAAGTGGTGCTTGTTTTTATATTCTTGTAGATTTTTCTGTTTTAAAGTTTTTCACGAGTGTAAAAGATCTGATTTGTTCTTTTTCTTAGTTACTTAGCTGCTTGCATGGCCAGCCATCTGACATAGTTATTATGAAAAAGATAAAATATGTAATGATTTTAATGTGTCCAGCTAGTACAATTTCACAGGTTCAGATACTAATTAATAATGTTGCTTAGATGGGATACTGGTTAGTGACGGTGTCTGTCATACTGAAGGGCCCAGGTTTGAACCCTGTGGAAGGTAGGAATGTTTGTAAGTATATCGTGTTTGTGTGGCAAGAGGACACTTAATATACAAGGTAAGCCAGAATCCTCTCGAGCTGTAGAGGAGGTGTGAGAGACCGTGGGACCACTCACACATTATTCTTTCTTGAAATTCCAAATTAAGGCACAAACTTAAGAATTAATTAGGTACAGCAATACTTCACTCACCCATGTTACTACAGTGGTGCTGGTATAGCTACTACCTGTACTAATTAATAACAATAGAAATGAAGAACTGCTTTTATTAATTTTAAATTGCTTAGTTTGTTAATCAGTAACAGATATATTACATTTGAAAAAAATTACTTTATGCTTTGATGAATGGCAACACCTTGGCATGTGAAAAATAAAAACTATTTTATTTTAGGTAATGGCAACACATTTATTTTAAATTGCTGTGTTTGTTAATTAAATTTGAAACAACTTTGTCAAGTGGCAACACATTTCTTTTAAATTTGAAACATTACCCTACGGTTTGCGGACTGGCAATATGTTGCTCTTATATAGCTGATATTGTTAATCATACTTTCATTACATTCCCTCAAAATCTGAAGTAAATCTAGAGTACATACAGATTTTTAATTATTTAATTACGGCGAGTGCTCCTGTTAAATAATGAAATTATTATCTTGTGAAAAAAAAAATTTTTTCCTCTTCCTTGCACATGTATTTTAAAACTATCCTTTTCTTTCAATGTTAAGTTTTCGTATTAAAAAAGCAATTATGATTTTTCATTAGGAAGCAGTTCAGTCAGCATGTTATTCACCGGATGGAAGTGTAATTGCTCTTGCCACCACCTCTGGCAGGTGGTCTGTAATGGATGCAACAACACGTCAAATATATTCAATGCATGCTGATGGCAATGAAGCCATAGATTGCATAAAATATTCACCGGGTACGTTAATTTATATGAGTTATCTTATTGTGCATGGTGAAATTTTTAATAATTTAATAAAGGATTAATTATTTTATTATTATTATTATCAAATATACTGAAATATATATATATGAGACATACAGATTGAAATTAAAACCTTTTCAGTTGAAAAAAAAAAAATATATTTTAGATTTCTTACAAAACATGTTTTCTTGGGACTACAAAATTGCCTATGTAAATTATAGTTTATTTCAATTAATTATTGAGAAATTTTTATCCTTTGTATGAAGTAAAGGAACTATTGTAATCTTGAAAAATTTCATGGATCATATTTCAACAGAACTATTCATTTTGACTGTTGCTGAGCCGATTTGAATGATTTTTTTGCTTCACATCTGTAATACGGGTAAAATAAAGGACAGTTTTTTCCCCAAAACAGATTTTTATTTGAATTTAAAGTGGATTCAGAAGGGATTTTTTTTTTTTTTTTTTGTGATGTCTCTCTGTATGTATGTATCCCACATAACTCAAAAAATTAGCCGTAGAATGTTGAAATTTTGTGTATGATACTGCTGTAACATCTGCTTGTGCACCTTCTTTTTTATTGCAATTGGTAGAATGAAACATATATGTATATATAAAATAGAAAAAATACAATGGCTTTGCTCTGCGCGAACAGACATAACTTTCCACAATTTACGATTTCCCCTCTAGACCAGTACCTTTGAGAACATTCAAGCTTATTAAGTAACCGCTACTATAAATAATGAATGCATGCCATTTTGCAGACAGAAGCTCCTCTCCTCCTGCACTACAATACCTCGCTGCTGCTTAACCCATCTTTCCTTTGTTAGAATAGCTATGATGTCAAAAGATTAGATTTCCTCTTATTCAGTTTGAAACACTGTTGAATATGTAATTTAAAAAATTTCATCTGAAAGGAAAATGATCTGCTATTTGAATTAAATAAAGATGTGCAAATTTGAATTAAATAAAGCGAAATCCTTCTTTGTCATCCTTCTGCTGTATTCCACTCAACCAAGCTTCGTCATTCATGTGCCACGACTGTCGTATCATCACATACATGTACTACAGAGTTCCAACTCTCCCGATTTTCAACCATACCCCTGACAACCTGATTTACTACATATTGCTCATGATTTTCTCTGATTCTTAAAATTTCTCATGATTTTCATGTAGCTTAATGTAAAACTTTGTTATTTGCACCCATAAAAACAAGTACTGCTGTGGGTCATTTGGCATGCATTAGCCACTGAGCATAAAGCAACATCAATGTTATTATTTTATTCATCTTGCCAGTGAGTGTTGTGAGTTTCACATACTTCTGAGAAACAGTTTAGCAAATTGTAATCTTTTGTCTTAATTATCTCTGCAAGAAAGGTAAAATACTCATATACCTTTCAAAAATCATACACAGATGACATTTATTTATATATTATCTTTATTGGTCCAAAGGGGCTGTATCCCTGAAGGACTATTGTTTTTGTTTATTGATTTTGCATTGAATCACTATAAATGTCCATTTCACTTTTCAAACTGTTGCCACCAAATGTTAGAGTGCTGCATTATGTTTGAAGAAATTAAATAATGAAAAATCTGCATAAATGTTAGTATATTTCTCGCATTGTGATAAAACAGCTGTACATAGAGCCATTGAATTATGAACGACGTAATCCTCCTATGAATATGGGCATGGGGAAGACCAAATTTGAAATTTGGAATTTGTTTTATTACTGATTTCATATTTTGTAAAACTTTAACAAATTTTTGAGTAACAAACTCAATGATTTAAAAGCGAGCAATGGCAACACTGTATGGGGGGAAGAAACCTTTTTATCTCCATCGGGCGCGGAACTGTGTATCAGAAATTATAAAGATATTCTCATTTTAAAATTATTTTGCGACATTGCTACTGAAAGACAAAGAGTTCTAAAAGGAAGGAAAAAATTGAACAGCTGCATAAAACTGAAATAAGAAAAGTTTTGAAACATGTATGTGCATGGTGGTTATCTTTAGAAAAATCATATCATTCTATAATTCTCAATCAATGAAATTTGCTTCTTCCATTTTTTAAGGAAGCAGTAAATGTTTATGCAGTTAAAGTAAAAGGCTTTATTGAAAATTATAAAACACCTAAAGTAAATAGAGATTTAAAATACCTAAAGTAAATTTAGATTTACTACTTTCACTGCTGAAAATAGGTGTGAGAAAAATTAAGTTATTTTTGTATCTGTGAGCAATTTAATTGGCTGTTCTCAAAAGCGTAAAGCTCTCCCAAAATAAATAAAGTTCCCCTCCAAAAAAGTTACTCGTAAAGGTCCACACTTTCTGATTATTTAAGTTTATCTTGTAAAGAATGAATATTTGTGTTTTATCTTAACAAAGCTTTTTTGATTTTTTTTTTTTTTTTTTTTTTTTTTTTTTGTATGCTCCATTTTGCCATTATTTGATGTTCCTAACACAATTTTATATGCAGAATTCCATTAATTCTTGCAATCAGTAATTGCTGATCTAGTTAAAGTATTTAATGATTAATGAAACTGATTAAAGTATTTTTCTGTTAAAAGGTACAGTAGAAGGGGTAGAGGGACAGTTCTATATTTCCCGTTCTACTGCGCCGATTGACGAAATTCAAATTGTATTTTTCATCTCTCAAAAGCACGACTTAGGATGTATACTAGATTTATATATATCACTATTTTAACATGGGTCTCACATGACACAAAATCTCACTTTTTCTGAAATACAATGGCAGTTTTTTTCCATATTTCGATTCTACGTCTCAGATTATGCCCAAATATTAAACTTTGTAAAAATTGGTGCAGAATTTACAGAGAAATTCAAAAATTTATCTTGCCGCAATTTTTTCAGTTTCTGCCAAGAATAATTTACTTGGCGAACATCTTAATTTGTGGCAACCTATTTTTCTTTCCTTTTTTTCATTGCAGACAAGCAGAAAAAAGTCACAGTTCATACTTTCAAATAATTTTAACAAAGTGCGTAAATCACATTTGGCAGTATTTTCGCAGTACTTAAAAAAAAAAAAAAAAAAAAAGAATTAAATTAGAATAATCTGAGAAAATAAGTTTAAATGAAGTGCAGCAAAAAATGTGTATAATTTAATAGTCCATACTAGGAAATCATGTGGTGTCCACATCAGATTTTTTAAGGAAGTAAGAAGAAAAAATTCTTCTGACTATAATAAAAATCAATATCATAGCTATGCAATTTTTAATCATTCCATGAAGTGAAAATTACAGGTTTTTGTTTAAGTATCTTGTAAGATATTGTAATTCTTTTTTTAGATGGGCGATTTCTTGCCATTGGATCTCATGATAACTACATTTATGTTTATCAAGTAGATGATGAGTACAAGAAATATAACAGGATAGGTCGATGCATGGTATGCATATATCATATTTTCTCCAATAAAGTGTTTCTAGTATAAATATTTCAGAATTTTGTCTCTAGCTTATTTGTAGTGTAAGATTATTATTATTATTTTTTAAGACTGTGTGTTTAGAATACATCATAAATGGTTCTTCTGTTGCTTATCAGTTTAATTTCTTTATACATTTGAATGCAGTTGTACTTTTTAACTTATACAGATTGAAAAGTTTTAATTTATGTTTTGTATAAGTACAAAGTCCGAAATCCGGATGCCATTATCTGGAATGATCTAAAATCCAAACCTCAAAACCACCACCAACATTTTTTTTTTACGCATGCGCATTTAATTACCCCCTCCGCGCATAATAAAACATCTGGAGAGTCCTGATTCTTAACTTCACTTCGACACTAAATAAAATACCTTATTTGACACTTAATAAAATATCTTGTTATTGAAGAAAAGATCATTTTAGCATAAATTTGTACGATCAGTAATTTTGCTCCGTTGCTGCATATCTGCTTGGCACACATCTCAAACCGAAACATTCCACATAGATACATCATTGATCTGACACCAATCTGGTGAATCATTATTTATTATACTTTCCTTTCATCACTGCATCATTTTATCAGTACATGACAACTTGAGTAATGACTCATGTAGTGATGCCTAAGATATTTGTTTATGTTAGTACTTGAGTAATAAAGGAGTATAGTAACCTTTTATGTTGACATTACACTTGGTGATGATTACAGATTTAAGTTAAATGCGCTGAAAAATAATGATGAGGAAAATTTTCTTTCCATATGCTAATAATAGATTTTGTTGATGATACTCACAGACCCAAAGATTACATTTAGGGCTATTTGAATTAAGAATAACTTATTTGTCATTCGCATAAACCCAGAACCAGCACCGGGGCTCATATGGCACGTGCCAAGTTGCACAGAATTTAGGACCCACAGAGGCTGCATCAGGCAGATACAGATATCTAGCACCGGCCCTCAATTAAGGCTTAAAGGCTTAAGTATGTGGGAATTTATTTATTCAGAACTCTGATAAGCCTTAAGCATGTGCAAGAAATAGACATAAGTATAATAAATAACTAAGCTAATAGAATTCAGGCTTAATTGTCTTAGTGCACAATAGAAGCAAGATAAAATTTAATGGAACAACTTGTCTTTAGTTGCCAGGCTCATGATGCTTAGCCAAATATGTATAGTGAAGGATAGCTAAATTTGATGACGATAGCAGTTAATTTGAAAGGGTTTTGGGTATCACAAAACAAGGTGAAATTTTCCATTTAACGGATTTTGTAAAGAAATGTGGAGAAGCAGTAAAAAATGAAGATGATATAAAAGAAGTTTTTCATTGTGATGACTGTGGTTCTGAATCATCAATCAATTAATGAATGGTGAAATCTGTAGTATGGTTCTAGATCCAGAAATTACCGCTACCGTTAGTGAAGAGAGTGACAGAGAAATTACTGAAAACGAGAAAATTTCTATTGAAAAAGTTAGACGGATTTCTCGAAACAGCAGTTACAGAACTTCAACAATGTAACTAAAGAAGAGATTATATCTGTCTACAGAATTAAAGAGAAAGTATTAGCACAAAAAACGTAGCAGCTTAAACAACTTACATTGAAAGAAATGTTTAATAAGGTAAACAAACATTAAGCTTTTTTTTTTTTTTGTAAATATTGATATCCTTTAGATTCTAAATACTTCATTATTTCATAAATCATGATTTCATATTTTTAATTTTATAATTTCTACATGCCATCTTACTAGATTTAAATTGATGATCTAATATCTAGAATCCAGAATCACCGAAGTCCCGACGAGTCCGGATTTCGGACTTTGTACTGTATTTGAATTTTATTTTTTGCCTTCTAACTCTAATTATTGTATGTTTTCAGGGTCATTCCAGTTTTATAACTCATCTTGATTGGTCTGAAGACAGTACATACCTTCAGACTAATTCTGGAGATTATGAACTCTTATATTGTGAGTTTTTAATTATTATTTTGATGAACTACTCTGTATGAATTTTATATACAGATTGGTCATAAAAAATCTTCCCTTATATGTGAATCCTCAGCAGCGTATCTGCTCATCCAACCGAAATGAAATTTCAGATGCTGTTATTTGAAGGTATTTGCTTGAGATTGTGATGATTTAAAACAATAGAGTTTTCATATTTATGATTACAGTGAAAAAATTTGAAATTTTTGAATGGCAAGAGCTATGTTTTCCCTGTGAAAATTGTTCAATGAATTGAAAAACCATAAATGATATTGGGACAATAAATGTGTGATGAAGATTGCTGGTGTAAAACATTTGCAAAGATGAGCATTGCAGAGGACCATTGACAACTGAGAGAGGAGGCACGTTGACCGACTTTGCATAATTCACAGTGTTAGACAGTAGGAAGCACCAGTTGCAGGTATATAACAATGCTTGGTATTCAACAGTATAGCAGAATAATGTTATTCCAGCATTATTCTGCAATACTGTTGAATACCAAGCATTGGTAGATTTGCACCGTCGAAATGTCATTAATGATACTGTATGGATGTAAGATGGTGCCGTGTCACCACGTGTTCATTCTACATGTCACCATGTGTTCATTAAGTGCTGCAACAGCATTTTGGAAATAGAGTTATCTTCCATAACTTTGCAGTTTTTTGGCCACTGCGATCCTCCAATCTTTCTCTAGTGGATTCCTGGTTCTTGGATTATCTGAAACTTAAGGTGTACACTTCAAATCTACGATATTTTTTCAGAATTCAAAGGCCACAAAATGGGAAGTCGTATAGATTCCTCCTGTGATGTTACATTAATGATTGTTGTCAACGATCTTCCGCAAGCAATACATTATAATCTGCTGAAGTGGGCATGTTGAAAACTTGTTATTCAAAAAAAGTTTTTTTCCCATTTCTCCTCATGTTCTCTCATTGGTCCATTGCAATGCTCTTTGCAAATGTTTTATGCTGGCAATATTTATTATATGTCTATTGCTGCAATGGAAGATTTTTCATGACCAAACTGTGTATATTGATATATTCATGTACTTTAATTGTTTGATTGTTATGTATTTATGGAAAGAAAAATGTGACCTGTGACAAGTACTAATTAATTAATTCTTCATTTATATTATTGTAATTTATGCAGGATAACTGTTATCTTATTCCATCTATATTTTTATGTTAATTTAACAGTACTTTTTATAAGCAATAGAGGAAAATACAGTCATATTATATGCAGCTTTCATGTGAAAGAAAATCTAGTTTATTTTTTTAAGCCAAATTATTAAAAGTGTTCCTGTTTTCATGCATAAATATTTTATTAAGTTTTAAAGTTTGTCATCACTATTAATTAGTTATTTTATAGTGACTACAACTCAAAGTAGGTGTATTATTTTCGCTTAACACATGAAATACCGCCTGGTAAATCCATACTCATGTTCACACTTCAAAAACTGATGGATACGAAAAATGGAAAGCATCTAGAAGCAGACCTTGAGAATTTTTGCCTCTGCGGAAAACATAAGACTCTTAATTTATGTTTTATTACTGCATAGCTGATTTTCGGTATCTGTATCAAAGCTCAAAATATTTAAATAAATATATCTTTCAGATTTAACATCTTATACAATATGCAGACTGAGTAACTTAAAAGGAATAAACACTTTTTTAGTAATTTAAATTTGTATTTTATTAATTTTTAACAATGTGGCTAGTAATATTTGGTCATATAAAAAGTTTCTTTTTTTTTTTTTTTTTTTTTGCCTGTAAATGGTGTTGATGCATATATATCCGGCAACACTCACCTGATTGTCTCAAACGAACCTGTGTTTAAAAGGTGACATTCAGATTCCATTATTTGTGAAGATTGTTTTCTAATTCATTGCTCATGTAAAATGTTATATTGATTTGAAAATGAGTGAAATATCTGAAGAATATACTATGTGATGCTTTTTTACTATAAAAAAGATTAAAATGCTGCAAACACACGTCAAAACATTTGTGAAGTGTATGGTGAGAAAGCACTGAGTGAACAAAGGACCTAGGCATGGTTTCCTGAATTCCGTTCCAGAAATTTCAATGTGCTAACCAGATGCACCTTGCTCTGGTCAGCCAGTCACTGAAAGTTGATGAAATTTTGCAACTGGTGGACCAAGATCGACACACAACTGTCAGGAAATTGGGGAGGGCACTAAACATCAACCATATGACAGTTTGGAATCATTTGAAAAAAGCAGACTACAAAAAGAAGCTTGACGTTTGGGTGCCACATGAATTAATGCAAAGAAATTTGATTTACTGAATTACCATCAGTGAAATGCTGCTGAAACGCAATGAAATCGAGCCGTTTTTAAAGAAATCATTACATGTGATGAAAAATGGGTGAAATACAAGAATATCAAACACAAGCGATCATTGTCAAAGCCTAGTGACTCTCCACAAATGACTTTAAAGCCTGGATTGTAGCCAAACAAGGTTATGTTGAGTGTTTGGTGGAACTGGAAAGGATTTGTCCATTGTGAGCTGCTGCAACCTGGTGAAACCATCAGTTCGGCCGTGTACTGTGCACAACTGGATTTTTTGAATGAAACAATTCAGAAAGAGTGACCAGAATTGGCCAACAGAAAGGGAGGTGTGTTCCATCATGACAGTGTTCAGCCATTCACATCTTTGATGACTCAGAACTAATTGACGGAACTTGGTTGGGAAATTCTGACTACCTTGTCTTTGCAAAACTCTCTTGATGGTAACAAATTGGCCTACCAAAACACTGCTGAAAACCACTTGGCCAAATTTTTTGATGATAAACCACAGAAGTTCTTTAGCAATGGAATTATGAAGCTACCCAAAAAATGGCAAAGGTCATAAATAATAGTAGTCAATATGTATTTGATTAAAATTGATTTTCAATAAAGACAATTTTTGTTAAAAAATGCATAAAAACACCACAGAGACTTTTTATATGGCCCAATATTTAATTTTTAGTATTTTTTAAAATACATTTAATGTGTAATTATTTAATACATAAATTTTTGAATATTTATTGTAATTTATAATGCCATGTGTTATAGAACTGGCTCAAAACCATTCATTTTTAAAATTTTTGTTTTACATTTTTTTTTTAATATTTAAAATTTTTTTAAACATTTATTGAATAGTTTAATTTTTTTTATATGTAGGCTGTGATCTGAAGTTTTCAGGTTGCGGTTATTCTCTTTTATATTGATATCAATTTTATAAAATGTTTGCATGAATGAAAAAATTCTATCTTACGTTACAGAAGTGAATACTTTTTATTCTTACAAAAAAGTATTTTATTCTTGTGCATTGCAAAGTTGACATCGCTTTTGATTTTCCAACAAGTGGACCTTTTGCACTGAAGGGGATCTATCAGAAACGCTGCAAAAAATGCTAATGCTAGATTTTTCATTTAGTCACATTATTTGCATCATATTTTAATTGAAACTGTATCATATTGTGTTATATATGTGCAATATTAACTAATATTAAGAATTTCAGTTTGTCATCAATATTTGTAAAAGTTGTCAAAAGGTGGAATATGTTGTGTTTACTTGATGATGTTTATTTTACATATTTTCATAGTCCTTGCTATACTTTTATTGTTTTCATTTCAGGGAATGCTGGTGTTTGTCGACAAGTTAGCAATATGTCTATTGCTCGAGATATTAAGTGGTATACACAGACATGCACGTTAGGTTTCAGTGTACTAGGTATATTTTTGTTTCTCCCCTCTATTTGTTATTATGAAAACTTACATAAAATGTTTGATAATAATTTTGGTTTTCTAAAACAAATCTTTGTAATCACCTCTTTTTTTTAATCAAAAAATTTATTTATGGCGCTAATGAATTTAATGAATTTTAATTTTTCATTTGGCGTTAAATGAAATACAGTACAAAGTCCGTAATCCAGACGTCCATTATTTGGAATGATCTATAATCCGGATCTCATTGCCATAAACTTACGCATGTGCGTAAGCGTCTATGCATGCACTTTTAATGCGTGCGTCCGTAACACATGTACGTAAAGCCAGTAAAGCATTTACACATGCGCGCTTCCGATAGTGAAGAAAGTGACGGAGAGGTTATTGAAAACGAAAAAATTTCGATTGACAAGTTAGTGTGTATTCTCGACACAGCAATTACAGGACTTTTGATTTGAACAATGTTACTTTGTCGACAAGAAATTATGTCGGTCTACAGAAAGAATTAAAGAGAAAGTATTAGCACAAAAAACGAAGCAACTTGAACAACTTACATTGAAAGAAATGTTTAATAAAGTAAACAAATAAATATTAAGCCTTTTTTTTTTTTTTTTTTTTGTAAATTTTGATACCCTTTAGATCATAATTGCTGTTTATTTAATAAATTACGGTTTTATATTTTTAATTGCATAATTTTTGCATGCCATCTTACCAGATTTAAATTGATAATCTGAAAAAAACCCTAATCTGGAACCGCCAAAGTCCCAGCGAGTCCGGATTACGGACTTTGTACTGTACTGTAATTTTTTAAATATAATCTTTTATTGTTAATTACTTTGGAAAGTTTGATTAACATTACATATCTGTTGAAAATTCTAAAAGCCCATTTATTTATTATACATTAGCAAATCAATTGGACCATGCATTATCAGCAGTATGTCTTGCTTTTCCTAGTATGGATAGCATTTCCTAGTGACCAGTATGACTTTAATATTCCAGTATGACTTGCTTTTCTTTTGATTTTGAATTAGTGTTTTATGTTGATTGAATTTGGGAGGGGGGGATGTTAAAACTCTACTAGAACATCATTATCTGGTAAAGAAAATCTTTTTATATTTTATCAAACTTTGTTTTTTATAGTTTTTATAATTTTTCTAATGCAAGATTCAACACAGTTGAAAACTCCTGGAAATGAAAAATGATCAGAGAAATATAAATCTTTTTAAAAAGTTGTTGAAAATTTATACTTTAATCAAAATGTCAAAGAAATAAAAAAAGAGTACAGATTCATCCCCTCAAATAATGAAAAGTTATTTTAAATACTACCACACAAACAAAAATTAGCAATCTTAAAAGCAAGGAAAGAATTACTGTAAACTCTATATTTCTTACAGAAACTGTTTAACCTCTCACTATCTGATAATAATTTTATGAATCCATATTTTCCTTCCTCAACTGTTAGTGAGTTGAGTTCATTCTTATGTTTTAAAAATATAGCTTACCATTCAAGAATATGCAAAATCATTATGCTGTATAGTTGTACATTATGATAAGTGGTTGGGTTAATTGAACCCATTTTTCAATGTAGTGTAATTCTTGACTGTTCAGTTTTATCCTGAAACATTATGGGGATAATATTTGTTATGAGTGATGTGCTGCTATAAATATGTTATAAACTTAGATTTGCTTTAAATTTGTTAGAGTCAACAGTTTTTTATTTCCTTTTTTAAAATCTTTATCTGCTTTATGAATGGCTTATACATATATACCTATATATACATTTCTTTAATTTGCTTCATAATATTGTATTTTGTAGTAAATACATAAAATTGTTCAAATACTCATACTTAATTTGATAACTACAATGTTAATTTATTATGAATGGTCACTGAAAATCATGGGAAATCAAGGAAACTAAAAGTTGAATTTATCTGGCAAACATTAAATGGTTGCATTCTAACTTAAGTGAGAGAGAATTAAAATTACTTGTTAGATATGGTTGACTTTTGAAGGTAATCTTATTTATATGATTTGGAAAGGTATGAGAGAATGAAAGTTGTATTAGTTTTTATTTTCAAAATTGGTGATTAGAAGAATGAGTAGAAATTAAGAAGTATGTTTCTGCTGAGGATGAAATTGATTACTTAGTCTTGTGTTGTGAAAAATCTAATATATTCTGCAGCGGTACCTGAACTAAAATATGGAGGACAGTAACTTGTCACCACATGTATTTAGTTGATTACTGGAAAAGGAAATTTTTGCATTCCTCATTGCTCAGTGTTACAACACATCCAACTAGCAATTGGAAGATCTGTGGTTCAAATCCTAGAGAGGACACTACAAATATTCTACAAAGCTTTGTGGTTCAGAATTATCTTTGAGTATCAGTATCAGGTGCTTCAGATCTTTTATTAATAGAATCATTAACTTAACTATTAGAATAATGTCTTGCATTATGTCTAAATAATTTTTCTTTCAACTTAAAGCCATTTACAGAAACTAAAGTTTGCAGCTTTCACTGTTTCATTAAAAAAAAAAAAAAAAAAAAAAAAAAAAAAAAAAAAAAAAAAAGCAAATACTCCCCTACCCCCCAAAAAAAGAGAGAAACACAGGGAATTTATACATGAAATTCTATGCAATTAAAAAAGTGCTACATAAAAATATATAATTAAAATCTTTTCTTTAACAGCCGTATTCCTATGTTGAAAAAAATTATTGAAAAGCTTGTAGGACAAATTTTCTTTTTTTAAATATGAAAGGTTGTCATCTCCAAAATAACATCTATCAGAATATACAAACATCTTCAGTGCTGTTGTTGTGCCTGGAAATATTGACACAATGTCTCTTTCGCCATCGATTGTAGACTAGCCATCACATTATTTTGGATTATCTGAAAATATACATGCTGTAGAACCATTTTGATAAGACAGAACAACAAAGACCAAAAGTTATTTGCTAAGATGGTCATGGCATAACAGGACTTACTCTCTGACCAAAGAAATCTGTGTATAAATATCTTTTAAGTCCCCAGTAATATTTTACTGGAAAATATTTTCCAGTGTTATTTATAAAAGGGGGAAACCTCACACATAAATGAAATCATGTAATTTAATAGTCAGCTGTATGTGTGTTGAAACAATCATCATTAGGGAAAAGTTGCTGACTTCTCTGGATGTATTATTTCAATATTACTGAACATAAAAAGCTTACAGGTGAGAAATTTCATTCCATTCTAAAAGTATAACTTTATGATATATGTGTATGGTGAAAAACATTTAAGAAGAAATGATCATAATAATGTAGACTTGAATTTTATGTATATTTCCAGGGATATGGCCTGAAAATGCTGATGGCTCTGATGTTAATGCTTGTTCTCGAGCTCATAACCAAAAGATATTAGCTACTGGAGATGATTTTGGAAAAGTGAATTTATATAGCTATCCTGCCTGCCAACCAAAGGCAAGTAAAGGAAGGTTTCTGTTTGTAAAATTTTATCATATTAAATGAAGTGGCACTTTTTCCTTCCCCAAAACTGTCAATTATGGGAATTTCTCTTATCCATCAGAGACAGTCTGTGTTATTTTACAAGTTTCAGTTTGAAAATATTCTTCCTTAAAATTACAGCTTATTTACAAGCTTTATTGTAAGAGTATAGTGAAGTTCAAAAGTCCAAAATCTGCATGTTCAGTAACCAGAATAATCTAAAATGTGGACCCCCAAACCACAAGCAACCTTTTTTGAATAAAAACAATTCTTTGTATGCTTTACACATGCCCATTAGATATCTTCTTGTAATAAAATGTGGAGAATCCTGATTCTTAATTTCATTTGGCGCTAAATGAAATACCTCCCTATTGAAGAAGTAATCATTTATTCTTTATAATCAATAATTTGTGTTTGTAGCCAAATTTTTGCTTGACATACTTCCGAAGCCAAAGCATCATAGATTTTACACCTACTGAATAATTTATATCCCTGATACCAACTTTGCAAATCATTATTTACTATTTTTTAATTTCATCATGGAATGACCATCAACATTATTAACATATGGCAGCTTGAGAAATGACTAACGTAGTGATATATAAGCAATGTTTTTAATAACAAAATTAATGATCGAATACCAAAGAATATGGCAACATGTTGATTCTTAATGGTGATTACAGACTTCAGCTAACTGCACTGCAATGTGTTAAATGTGGTGATGAGGAGAAATTTAACAAAAATTTCTTTTCATATGCAAAAGATAGATTTTGTAAATTACACTCATAGGTCAAAAATAATCATAGGCTAAAAAATTACATCTATACTCATATATCATCTATACTCAGCCTGTTCCCATAGTTCAAAAAAAATACATCTAATGCTATTTAGTTAAGAATAACTGATTTGTTATTCAGATGGCCCAGAGCCAGTGTGAGAGCTGGTGCAGTAGAATTTAGTGGGGGGGGGGTAAATATTTTTAGAACTGAGAGAAGCATTGAACAAAAAAATTAAGGGATGGCAAGATTTTTAGAATTTAGGAAAGGTATTTTAATGCAAAATTTTTAGAATTAAGGGAAGGTGCTTGCCAGCCGAATTTAGGACCTGCAGAGATTGCACCTAGCCGCAAAATGTCTAATGCTGGTCGTGGATAAGATGCATGGGAATTTATATATTTGGTACTCAGATGAGTCTTAAGCATGTGCAGGAAATAGGTGTAGGTATAATAAATAACTAATGTAATTCAGGCTTAATTTCTTCAGCTTATAATAGAAGCAAGACAAAATTTACCTGAATAACATGTTTTAAGTTGCCTATCTCATGATACACCACCAGTGGATCTTTAGGATAGTGTAAGCTAATCTTTAAGATGATAGCAGTGAGTTGGAAGTTTTTCAGATATCGCAAACAAAAAACAAAATTTTCCAGTTAATGGAGTTTGTGAAGAAATGGAGGAGAAGTAATAAATGAAGATGACATAACAGAAGTTTTTCACTGTGATGATCATGCCCCAATCATCAATTAAGTAACAGACGACAAAATCTCTAGTTTGGTTCTAAATAAAAAATATTGCTACCAAGAATGAAGAAATTGAGGGAAAGGTTATTGAGAAAAAATTTCGATTGACAGTTTAGTGGGATTTGTCATCAGAGCAATTACTGGACTTCTAATAATGCAATTTTATAACTGTACAAGGAATTATATCTGTTTATAAAATTAAAGCGAAACTAGTAGCACAAAAAATGAGGCAAATTAAGCTTACACTGAAAGAGATGTTTAAGAAAACAAACAAGTAAATATTGAGCTTTTTTTTTTTTTTTTTTTTTTTTTTTTTGTAAATTTGTTTGTCTTAAGATCATAAATGCTTCATAATTTCATAAACTACTATTTCATATTTTGAATTTGTAATTTTTGCATGTCATCTTATTAGATTTTTAAAGTGGCATTCTAATATCCAAAAAAATCCCAAATTCAGAATCGCTGAAGTTTTGATGAGTCCAGATGTTGGACTTTGTACAGTATAAAATATTTGGTAGATAGCTCTGTAGGGCAACATACAATACCAGAAGCAGTTATGAATCATACTAATATGGTCCAGAATTTGAGTTTCCTGAATAAATTGATTGATTGTTTCTCCAGTTTTAAATCGTCTTGTATCCTTTTTGCCCATGTTAAGTTTTAATATATAAAACCATTTTTCTAGATATATGGAGATTTTTGGGATGGGAATACATAGATTATAATTTTTATTATTTTACTTTTAATAACATTGTAGTTTTTTCAATAAAAATGTAACTGAAGTATTTTACTCCTTACATTTCTTCTATGTGTAATTCTTCTTTTAGTACAACATGAGGAAGCAGTTTGAAACTGCCATTGTTTATATAAATTATTTAATGAGAAAACACTTTTCGCAAAACATGATTGCTTCTTTTTGTCTTAAAAAAGAAAATTTGCACATATATTCATTATGTCTTAAATTACAACATCAAAAGGGTGTCTTAATATAATCCGACATGATTTAGCTTGAAGAATTTGCTGAAAAAAGTTCATTAATATGTTTTTTTCTTGTATGTTTATTAAAATTACTGCTCATTAAGTTGTTAAACAGTTTATGATAATATCCTTATTTTCTGTTGAAATGCATGATTATGAATTAAAACTAATTATCCAATTTTATTTCTTTAGTCTCCTCACCATAGTTATGGTGGTCATAGCAGTCATGTAACAAATGTTGACTTCATTCCTGATGACACACGTCTAGTATCTCTTGGAGGCAGAGACTGTAGTATCATGCAGTGGGCATTAACTTGAAGAAATACAAAAGAAAAAGATAATGTATGAATTGAACTTATTATTTAAATAAAACTGCAAGACCTATCTTGACAATGTTGATGTTAAGGATATGAGTTTGAAATTATTATTATCTCAAAGACTGCAAGCAGTGAAAAGTAATAGGAAATTAAATTTTTAGCTTTGTGAAAATTAAGCATAGAAGGCGATTTTTTTTTTTTTTTTTTTTAAATTCATCTGCATGTGTAGTTTGATTTCACATGAAGGCTAAGCAATAAGGCTACTCACTTTAAAATAATATGTATAAAGTAATTTTTGCTTGCAACATAAACATTATATAATGTATATTGTGTTCCCTTTGGAGTATTTTTGAAGTTCTAATCTCTAAAGCTGTTGAATAATGAACTTAAATGTAATGTATATTTAAAAATATTATGGTCTGAATTCATAATTTAAATCATTATTTTAATTTTTGCTGTTTTAACTTAATACTTCTGAAGTTTACTGAAAATCCAATAGGTGTATATATTTTATACATCAAGATAGATTAATGTTGAAATGTCTTGTTCAGATACCGTAAATTATTACACTATTAAAAATTATATTTCCTGTTTGCATTATCTGTGACCATTCAATGTTAAATATTTAAAAACGAAGTATCTATATTTTTGCTTAAAAATCAAAAATTTGTACCTGCAATATTTGACATGTTTTGTACTGCTGTAATTTTAATACTTCAACAAAGAAACAGAATTCTTTTTTGTGTTTAAAATTACATTTTGCAACCTTTATTTTATTTGTGGCTAACTATGTAAAAAATATATAAGCAATGTGCTTCACTTTTGTCAACTGCCATGTTTTTACTGACAGCTATACAGTCCTTTGTTTACTATTTATATACATGTTAAATATAAATTTCACTGTGAATTATAAAATGTGCCTTTTACTGATAAAATTTCTGCAGAGTGCAATGTTTAGAATGACATATATCTAAGCATATATATGCAATGTTGGAATGCATTTAAAAATATATTGGGTATATTGTTGGAGAATGGTTATTTTGTTAATTATTACATAGAAACCATACATTTAATTAAATTTGATATTTATATTTATGATTTTTAAGTAGAAGTATTGAGTAATGCCTTTCTTGTGAGTTAATTTCTTAAAATTTTAAAACTAGGTTGGATTATTGGAATGTTTTCCAAGTATATGTTGGACCCTTAAGCTTCGTTCAGACGGGGGCATAAAGGGCACAAGTGGTTAAAGCCGAGCTCCGTTGCCAAGGCAACCAGTCTGTGCTATGTCACAAAATCTGGTTTAGGGCTCGTGGAATAGGGTTCAAAGTTTTCAACTTTACGCCGAATTTGGGATAAGCGTTGACCAATCAGAGCGAAGCTAAAACAAAGCGGCGTTCTACAGAATTTCGCTGTCACAAAACAAGCAGAGCGAACGCGGGAAATCAATCGAACAGGAGAACAGCACGAGAAAGTTGTAGACACATCCGCATATTTAGCTTCTCTCATTGGTCACAGCTTACACCCCGTTCTCGCAAATGTGAACGGAATTCCCGTATTTTATGCCCTTATGACTACGCCTTATGCCGCTGTCTGAACGTAGCCTTATAAAAAAGTCATTGTGCAAAGTGTATTGATTTGAGCTCTGTATATAAATGATTATTGATATTTTATGTTTTAAATATTGATCAAAATTAGCAGTATATTTTACCTTTTCAGATAGATTATTGTCATTTTTTGCACTAATTAAATGTAATTAGTGTAATTATATGTAATTAAACACAGCTATTGTGTTTGCTAATGAGTAATTGTAGCAGTGGTAATAATCAACCATTTTTATCATTACATAAGGTAACCTTGTTTAATGATTTATAGTGAGCGTTATGAATTACAGTATGCAAAGTAATATTCACATATATATCTCCTAGCATGTGCATATATTTAGGTTTCATGCAGTGTTTAATTTTAGTCAGCTCAGCAATATTAATATATTCAGTAATTGTTTACTTGTATATTTACCAAATGTTTTAAGAAACTAATAATTATGCTAGTTTTTTGAAAAAATTAGTGGAATTCTATAGCAATCTTTTAACTCTAAATGATAAAGAAAGGTAAATTGTTTTTAAATTATATTATGCATGTCTGTGTGTGTTTGAAATAAATATTTTTTAATCTTTATTATGAGAAATTAAAGATGTTTCCTAGAAAAATTTTGAGTATGAAGTATAGTTTTTGAAAATGTGATTCAAAAATTAAGCTTTTTGATATGAATTTTAATTAAATTTAAAATGGAATAAAATTGATAATACATGATAAAAATTTGTGTTAATTTAAATTTTATTTACTTCAAAGAGACTAAAATTATTTGGACGATGGGAACTAGAATATTTTTCATATTTTGAATTCATTAAGGAGGTCCTGCCTTTTGTGCCCAGATTTATTTTAAAAGCAACTGATTTGGTTGTCATATTTGGAAAGTCACTGCAATGGTATAGCATTTATGGCAATGAAAGCTAGCTTTTTCTAATGCATCATATTCTTAATACCAAAAATTAATTTTAGCTAATGTCTTTCCTAATGCATTATATATTTCTGTCTTTAAAATACAGTATTAAATAAATGTATAAATAAAGTTTGAATGGAAGAATTTTTAAAGTATTAACAATGGAAGCATTTTAATTCTCAGTAAAATAAAGAAGATAGCATCTTTCTGGGAAGGACATAGTAAAACAGAGTGAGTACTGGCTTCAGGTATTTGTCTATTTTTCTGCAGGGAAATTCCTTTAAGATACACAAGAATCATGAAGGCAAATGTTACAATACTGTTTCATCTTTACTCGAAAAGTTAAAGAATATGATAAATGCTTCATTGATCATCAGACTTATTAATGTAGCTAACTGAAAAAACTGAAATTGGCAGCTAGTTTGAGACTTACTCGCAGTACATACCTTGGTTAATTTAAAGTTATATTATATTAGAGTTACATTTTATACCAATTAGAAATTTTATATTTCCATAATCTTTACAATGAATTTTCTGATATTTTTGTATAACATGTGTAATTAAAATTTTTATTACTTGTTAATATTTTTTTCCTTCTTTAATCTGTGTATTTGTTTTCCACCTTTTTGAAAGCTGAAATACAAAAAGTATATCAACTCTGAATAATGCCAAACCAGAACTTTTCTTAGTTTTTATATAACCTGTTGTTTGAAGCTGTATTTTTCTTATACAAGTATTGTAAATGTGAGTTTGTACATATAAAATAAAGAATTGTGTAGAAGATAAGAATGTGATAAAAGTTTATTTTGTTCTCAGTTTTTGTGATACAGTTAATTAAATGGTTTTATGGATGTTTGAGTGTTTCCAATACTAGAATTGATTGGCTGTAGATTATTTTTACTGATTATTCTGTATTTAGAATTAATATTGCTAGAATTTTGCACATCTTGTGAATAAAAGCAGCTGTCTGTTCCTTTCATATGTAAAATTTTTGTATATAGAAATTTAAAGTTTATGTAAAATACAGTTTATTGAACTCAGTTGTGTGCTATCTCATTTATTACATCATCTATTCTTCTTGGGAGGAATATTTTAATGTATATAAATACAACAGAACTCAAAAAATATCTGGATTAACTGGGACCACACTTTATTTGGATATTTGAAAAAACTGAGATAATTGGGTTGCTTTTTTTCCCAGCATGCCAAATATGTATTTATTGGAAAATTGTGTTTTATTTCAATATTTCAGCATCATACAGTTAAAAAATAAAGAGATTTTGTTTCTGGGGAAGGAAAGACATTAATACATTTTTCAACAAAATAAAAAGAATTGATTTTTGTTTGGCCCTGCGCTACATTTTTTTAACTTTCCAAAAATTGAATTATTATTATTATTATTATTATTATTATTATTATTATTATTATTATTTTTTTGGTTTTGTCTTGACAGATAATACATTTTTACTTCAAATAAAACAGTGAAATTAACTTTTTTCTGATTTTATTGCATTAAAAAGGATTTTTTTTAAACTTGTTAATGAAATAAGAAATATATTTCTGTTCGACTAAAATTAAATTGACACATTAGTTTTATGGATGTAAAGTATGAAAATTAATATGTTATTATTATTATTAAATGAAAAATCATAAACAAATTAGGAACAAACTCAATTTTATTTAGAAAAAACGAGCAGTCTTCATAATTAGAGCTTTGAATACAGAAATAATTGAAATCCTCATATATTATATATGGGTATAATGTATATATATTTTTTGGGTGCATACATTAAGAAATTTTTTAGTCATAAAAATGGAGGCCTATAATTATAAATAAGAGTTTTTTTTTTTTAAAAAAGGGATAAAAATGAAATATTTTCATAGTTTAAAATGTATGTATAGTGTCCCCTTGATAATGCTGGGGAAGCAGATCATGGATAAATGCAAAACAAGATAATCTAAACTACCACTTTTTATGCATATCGTGTGCATTTTTGTATTTATCTCTTATTAAAAATATCTACTTTGTTTTTGAAAATGATTAAATATTTGTTCCGTTGCATATTCTTTAAAGTGCTATTTTATCATTGTATTTGAATCTCCACTGCTCAACGGAGTCCAGTAGACTTTCAGCAGAAGTTATTGTTGTTTCAGAATCAATGTAATATTTAAGTGTACTTGTATTTTTAAGTATCACTGTCTGTCTCTTCTATTCTTGTAACATTTGAAATGATAACTGCAACACTCAAGGAATGAAATTTAAGCTCAGCTGAATCGCAATTGAATCACTCCTCAATGTTTTTCTGATTGACATTTTTGAAGAATTGAAGAATTTTACATTTTCAGTTTTTTGCCATACAACTTAAATTATTTCCTCGCCAACTTCATAATTAGATAGCTGCATCACTCAAGTAGATAAATCTTAGATTTCTATATTAGAAAGAATCTTATTTTCATGAAACTAATTTTATTGGTTTTACTTTCTACCAAAGCTTTCTCTGTATATAGGATAAAATAAAATTAGTCAAAGATGCCTTTTACTCTGCTCTGTCAGAATGAATTGTACGAGGTAATTGTTAAAGCTAAACCTAAAAATGCTATTCAGCAGTATTTTAGAGCATTCTCGTCCTTGCTTGTGTGTTTTTACACACTCTTGTGCATAGCAATGAATGTGCCTGCCAAGCCCGAATAATTCACTCCAGGGGTATAACCGAGAGTACACTGGGCTTATAATGGGTGAAATTTTAAAAATAGCTATACAGCAATTTGAGATTTTGCTGTAGAAAATTATATTACAGTATTGAAGTAACCTGGCATGCAAAGCATATTATTTAAATGTAATAATTAATTGCATATGGGGGATTAAGAGTTCCTCCCTCAAAAAATGGACCTAATTTCTTTTCAAAAGCTGAATTACAACTAAGGAGAAATTTAACATATGAAAAATTGTTATTTGAGAAAGGCTTTGAAATGTAAATATGTGATAATTAAATAATAGGGAAAAAGCTATGAAATGACAACGAGATTTAAATTCATGAAGGAAATTATTTTTGCAATACAATTCATATGATAAAGACATTTATTTGTGATCTGGAAACACATAATTACACAATATGAGATTTATTATAATAACTCTGTCTATTTCATATTAATTGAATACAATTTCTATGTAACCACAATCTCACATTTTAAACTTCGCAATTTTGTCTAATCAAGAAACACTGAAAAGTACACAAAGAGAAGATTTAAAAGAATACTATTTTGAAATTACATGCTTCATCCGAATGCTCGTTGCTAAACATACACTGGTGTGCAAAAATTAAGGACGAAGTTGAAAAATTAGCATATCAGCTGAACGAAGAGGCAGATCGGACAGAAAGACCAATCAGGAGATTAAGTAAAGTGACGTACGGTAGCACATGCGCAGATATGCAGGTAGACGTAATGGGGGAGTGTCTGGGTAGTATAAAGCATGTTGTCGGTGTAAGATCATCTGGATGCTTTTACCCAAGGTCGAATCATTGGGAAGTTGGAGTAAGGCCGCAGTGTGACAAGTGTGGCTGCAGAGTCGGGGCTCATAGCAGTTCACGACTTTCGAGGAATTTCAAAATCAGATATAGTAGTGGTCGTTTCACGAGGAACCAACAACCTGCAGATGACCGGGGGTTTATATTGGCCTTACAGGCCAGAAGAAACAGGCGGCAGACAGCGGGAGAAATCGCTAGACACACGACACAGGCGACTGGTCGACTGATATCGCGTTTTACCATGGCCAGAAGACTGCACGGTGGTGGTCTGTTTGCATGACGCCCTGTACGGTGTGTACCTCTAA